ATTGAGTGTGAGCACACACTAAGTTGGGTTTGAGCAATATTCAGTATCATTCATTCAGTCTGCCTGACCCATTTTGCTAAAGCCTTATTATCTTTCCAGGATGATTCCCATTTTTTGCTTTCCCCTTGGAAGAGAACTTTTTCAAATCTGTCTATTCCAGTCAATAAATCTTTTCCTCTGACTGCTGCTTCTCACTAAAATCAAGTTCAGCCTGTTGCAGAATACCTAGACTGGCACTTATATCTCCTAAGGCCCTTTTCTCTCTTATGGGCCAGTGCTATGGATTGAGTATGTCCTCCAAGCTTTCACGACTAGAAACTTGATCCCCACTGTAGCAGCATTAAAAGGAAGGGAAAGTCTATTACAGTAATTGGAGGGTAGGGCCTTTGAGAAATGACTGGGTTATGGGATCATACACATCTACTGTATGATACCCACTGCTTTAATTCCCCCATCAACCCATTGTTTTTCTCCATTTCCATTTGTGGATAGCTTTCCATCCATAAAAACAAGCGTGATGTGTTTGTGAATTGTACACTGTGCTGAGTTGTACATGCTGTCATTATATTTAGTCCATTATTAGCACGGACCAAATGATTTGAAGGTCCAGTAGAAAACAGCAGAAAATTCCTTCCTGTATAGTATCCTTTGCAGTAGATGTAACCTGTAAAATATTCATTAAAATATACAAACACTTTCCTAGAGTTCTATTCAGTCATTATTAATTGGTCCAGTTCATGAGCATATGGTATGACCAGAATGCCTCTCAGAGCCTTTCTCAGGATATTAATATATTGTTGTATTGCCTTCATTGCAAAATCCACTTATCCATTATCCTATCTTCAGCTGCTATTTCCCTTTTCTTCAATTGTCATTGATTTTTATCCAAACATTTTACCTTTAAATGTAATGTTAGGTTTGGCCACTGTGCTGGCCCAATTGCTGGCAGTAATACTAGTGTAACCAGTGCCTCGCCCTTAGTTCACTTTCATTCATAGAGGGTAAGCTTACTTGGGAATAAAACTAATGGGCTATCCTGACCACTAGGGAGCACAATAGCATTTACTATGACCTCCAACTTTTCCAGCTGGGGTAAAGGCACAATCTACCCTATCAGGCTCATAGGAATTCCAACATATAGATTTAAAGGTATAGTGTCTGCCTTAGGAGTCATCCCTGGTTCTGGCACCCACAGTTGTGTGCCTGGTCCGGGGACCACTGCCTTAGGCAGAGATAAAAAAAGAATTGAGTTGATGTGGGGAAGAATTGTATAGTTGCATGAGCATTCTCTTGATTCCCTCTGTCCTTGATCTCTCAGAAGAGTGAAAGAATCTATAAGATGGGGACCCTCCCTTACCACCCCACACATTGAGTGTGAGCACACACTAAGGAAGGTGTGTAGGCCAGTCTTTTATGTCTTTATTTCCCCCAGCTTTAGAAAGTATCTTAGTTCATTTGTGCTGCTATAAGAAAATACCTGAGACTGAGAATTTATAGTTAACAGAAATTTATTTTTCACAGTTCTCAAGGCTGAGAAGTCCAAGATCAAAGTGCTGGCAGGATCAGTGTCTACTTAGGTCTTCTCTGTTCCTCCAAAATGGTTACTTGAAAGCTGAGGCCTCTGGAGGAATCAGGTGCTGTGTCCTCATATAGTGGAAGGGACTGAAGGGACAAACTCAACCCTCATGCTCTTTATTAGGCACCAATCCATTCATGAAGGTGAAGCCCTCATGATCTAATCGTCTTCTTTGCAGTAGATGTAACCTGTAAAATATTCATTAAAATATACAAACACTTTCCTAGAGTTCTATTCAGTCATTATTAATTGGTCCAGTTCATGAGCATATGGTATGACCAGAATGCCTCTCAGAGCCTTTCTCAGGATATTAATATATTGTTGTATTGCCTTCATTGCAAAATCCACTTATCCATTATCCTATCTTCAGCTGCTATTTCCCTTTTCTTCAATTGTCATTGATTTTTATCCAAACATTTTACCTTTAAATGTAATGTTAGGTTTGGCCACTGTGCTGGCCCAATTGCTGGCAGTAATACTAGTGTAACCAGTGCCTCGCCCTTAGTTCACTTTCATTCATAGAGGGTAAGCTTACTTGGGAATAAAACTAATGGGCTATCCTGACCACTAGGGAGCACAATAGCATTTACTATGACCTCCAACTTTTCCAGCTGGGGTAAAGGCACAATCTACCCTATCAGGCTCATAGGAATTCCAACATATAGATTTAAAGGTATAGTGTCTGCCTTAGGAGTCATCCCTGGTTCTGGCACCCACAGTTGTGTGCCTGGTCCGGGGACCACTGCCTTAGGCAGAGATAAAAAAAGAATTGAGTTGATGTGGGGAAGAATTGTATAGTTGCACGAGCATTCTCTTGATTCCCTCTGTCCTTGATCTCTCAGAAGAGTGAAAGAATCTATAAGATGGGGACCCTCCCTTACCACCCCACACATTGAGTGTGAGCACACACTAAGGAAGGTGTGTAGGCCAGTCTTTTATGTCTTTATTTCCCCCAGCTTTAGAAAGTATCTTAGTTCATTTGTGCTGCTATAAGAAAATACCTGAGATTGAGAATTTATAGTTAACCAAAATTTATTTTTCACAGTTCTCAAGGCTGAGAAGTCCAAGATCAAAGTGCTGGCAGGATCAGTGTCTATTTATGTCTTCTCTGTTCCTCCAAAATGGTTACTTGAAAGCTGAGGCCTCTGGAGGAATCAGGTGCTGTGTTCTCATATAGTGGAAGGGACTGAAGGGGCAAACTCAACCCTCATGCCCTTTATTAGGCACCAATCCATTCATGAAGGTGAAGCCCTCATGACCTAATCATCTCCTAAAGGCTCAACATCTTAATATTGATGCATTGGGGATTAAGTTTCAGCATGAATTTGGGAGTGGGGCACAAACATTCAAACCATAGCAGACAGCAAATGTTTTAACTCTCTTCCTATTCTCTATTGAACCATTACTCCGAGGATGATATGCAACATGATTTGTTCATTTGACATAATATCTCTTTGCCCACTGCTTCACAGTATGGACTATAAAGTATGTCCCTTGATCTGAAGAAACATAGTTTGGTGCCCCAAATTGGTACAGTATCTTCTGTTCCAATTTTTAAATAGTAATTTGAGCATTTTCAGCTACTGCTTGGCAAGCAAAGCCCAGTCTTGAGTGTCTTCTCCTGTCTGGACTCATTTATAGCCCCCTGGTGCTGCTGGCATTGGTCTAATACTCCTGATTCTTATTGCTCTCATCACTTAGTAAATTACAAGGGGTCTAGGAGATGCAAGCCAGAAACTATGGACAAAGACCAAAATACATATTTCTTATTAAATTACATATCACACTTACCTTACAGCATATGCAAAAATTAAGTAAAAATGGATCAGAGACCTGAAATTTAGAGCTAAAACTGTAAAAATATTGGGAGAAAAAAATACCATTGGGGAAAGCTTCATCACATTGGATTTGGGAATGAATGATTTCATAGATATGGCATTAAAAGCACAGGCAATGAAAGAAAAATATAGATAAATTAGATTTCATCAAAAATAAGAACTTTTTACATGAAAGCAAAATGCAATGTACACATTAGAAGACAATATTTAGAAATCATGTATCTGGTAAGAATGAATATCCATAATACCTAAGGAATTCCTACAACTCAACAACAACAACAACCCAATTCAAAAATGGGAAATGAAGTCAGGGGTCATTTGTCCAAAGAAGATGCACAAATGGACAATAAACACATAAAAATTCTCAGCATTATTAGTCATTAGAGAAATGCAAATCAAAATTACAATGAGATACCATTTTATATCCATTAGGACACCTATTAAAAAAATGGAAAATAACAAGTGTTGGTGAGGATATGGAGAAACTGGAAACTTTGTGCATTTCTTGTGGGAAAGCAAAATGGTGCAGCCACTGTGAAAAACAGTGTGTGAGTTCCTCAAAAGTTTAAACATAGAACTGCCATATGACCCTTCAATTTCAAGCATGGGTATTTACTCAAGAGAAATGAAATCTGAGACTTGAACAGATATGTGTACTTGAGTGTTTTTAGCAGCATTATTGGCAATACCCAAAACATGGAAACAACTCACTTGCCCATTGGCAGATGAATACTAAATAAAATGTGAAACATACTCCCAATGGAATATTATTTAGCCTGAAAAAGGAAGGATGTTCTGACACATGACAACATAAATGAACCGAAGGTACATAAAGCTTAGTAAAATAAGCCAGTCACAAAAATGCAAATACTGCATGATTCCTCTTGTATGAAACACCCAGTGCAGTTAAATTCATTGATACAGGAATTAGAATAGAGATTACCAGGGACTAAAGAGTGGCCACGGAGGGAAGGATGGAGAGTTATTGTTGAGCGATCCAGCAATTATATTGAAGGTGATGAAAACATTCTTTATACAGATAGTGGTGAAATTAAACACCACTGTAGTTGTATTTAATGCTATAAAATTGTGTACTTATAACATTAAAATAATAAATATTGTTATATGTATTTTACCACAATAAAAAGAAACAATGGTTGCTTCTATGTTACTGTCAAGTATGATACAAAATTTGAAAACATTTAACAAATTCTTAACAAAGTGAATGTAAACAATATTTCTCCTTTTTACTTCAGAACACTGCTTTTAAAAACCCTCTTTACCAAGATGACCTGGTAACACTAATACATAATTCTTTTGGTTACAGATTGTCTTTTTTTCCCTTTTCATCTGCTAGGTGAGAATTGTAATGATAATGATAGCCCGTCTATTAGACCTTTCAAGCATTTAAAATATACCTGTAGATTCCGTGGTTTAAAATCACTCACTAGTTCATCTCTCAGGGTATCAAATTGCTCATCTGTTACATAGAGGCAATGACCTAGACTGATTCAAAGAAATTGTCTCATCTGACGGGCTTTAATCCCTATCATCTTCTAATAGAGTAAAGACATTTGTCTTAATAGGTTCTGTGGAGATACACAGGAAAGAAACCAGATACATTAGGACCCAATACAAGGCTCTATGAATGGATTCCACAGAATGATCTTCTTGGTAAGACCAAAGAAACTAAACAGACTGGAATGAGGGATAATCTGAATAATTACTAAACAACAAAAACCCCCAACAAATTTGTATTCAACACAAGCAAACTAGCAAACAACAAACTTAATGTCTTCTTCATATTTCTTCTGGACCTCCAAAATAAATGTAGAATCTAAAATTCTCCCATTTATTATACAAATTCAGACTCAGACTGAGAATCAACATACCTTTAGGTCAGGCTCTCATTAACTTTTGCATGGAATATTGCAGCCCCCTCTTGATTCTTGTATCCTTTCTCCCACTGCTTTTCTATCTTGCCCTCTATAACTTTTGGAAAAGAAAAATCTGATAATTCCATTGTGGGCCATTTGTATATCACCATTTCTAATGCTATAAATGAGTCCATACTGCTGTAAAATCAAATATAAAATCAATTTTCTTAAACAGAGCACTACATGAATTTGTCGTAGCCTGTGTTTCTAGCCTGTTATGCCAATGCTCTCTCCTTGAAACTGCACATCTTACCAACCCTTCCCCAATCACACAACAGTTTAGTTTCTTAAATCTCTCCAATCCTTAGTATTCATGTATTCTTCCTCCCAACAACTTCTCTACATGACAACTACACTCCATCATTTAAACTCAACACAAATCATCTCAGATGTTTGAGACCTGAATTAACTGCTGGAGTAACTACTCACTGCTACCTTTGGAGCCAAGAGTAATTTATATATAAGCCTCATATAGCAAGTTATGTAGAAGATGCTGTCTAATTAAGTCAATACTTTGCACTGTAAAAATGAGTCGTGTTCCCACGTGGGGGCTCCATCTTTGTTCTGTCATCAGTTTGTCAGTTGTCAATCAAGCTCCCCTCTGCCTTACACATTTGGCAATGTGATAAGTGCTGGCTCTGCTATTAGCCTGAAGTTGTGCAGCCTACACATCTGGGAGGGTTTCATGAAATAAATCACGAGAAAGAACTGGAGGAAAGCTGATATTGTTTTGGATCACATGTGCAAAACAGTTTAATATTTATTTGCTTTCTTATTTTTGGTTCTTTGCTTTTGGTGACTTTGTGTAATGCCACATGTATCACCAGAAAGTATAGCTTTTGTGTGCACATACAGTGAAATCAAGAACAAAAATAAAACAAAAATCCTATTCCTGCAATTCTGGTACTTTGTCACCAGGTGGTGGTAGTGTATCTTGATTAAGGAATATGAGCTGCTAGGTATAGGCATTCATTTATTTACTCACTAAATAACGTTTATTGAGTATGGAGTTACTCATAAATAATTACCAATACACACTAATCTCAAACATGATTGTCTTATACTTCCAAAATTCTATGGAGGCATTTTGATTCACCTGCTGTGAATGGGTAATAAATTACAACTTCAAAGAAATATTTAAATTGCTTTAAAGAAAATCAGTTATGTTAAAAAGGCAAAAGCCATCATTTTTATAAAAAGTGATTATGTTAATATCTTAAAAACTTACAGAAACTCCCATTATACAGGACTTAGACAGTATAACAGAAAAAAAGAAAAATTAAAATTAAAAATCACTAAAATCTCCCCTCAAGCTTTTATGACCAATCTTACTGGTAGGGAAACATAACCTCAGGTAAAATGTTTTTCCTAATTTATAAATAGCAAAGAAAAAGATGAAAGTTATTTTATAAAAAATGGATAGTACTACTTTAAATAAAAAATGTCTAATACTGGTACATTTTAATTTAAAAAAATTTTTTAAAAATCACTAAAGTAAAATCGAAAGCGTCACCAGGCTTTGAGTAAATGTTTCTTTAATAACAGATAAATTGCTTACATTAAGAGATTAGAATAATTATATTTTAAATGTTTCAAATTTTGGTCACCATAGAATGGCTTTTCACTATGAAGTCATTTCCCAGCTTCCCACACATCTCTTAAACACCAGATATTAATTTTTGTTTGATATATTATTACGTGGTTGAGGCTTGCAACATACGCATCTTGTCTGTGCCCACAATGTCCAATGTTGTTTAATCTTAGTTTTATATTATGTGGACTAAATGATGCTATTCCTGTTTTACTATATTTGTCCCAGTCCTGTGAGTCTCTGTTCTTAGTAACTTGTTATGAGAAGTATTTTGTTTATGTATCTGGGTGCTTTTGTTGTTTTCTCATTTTTATGCAATATATACAGAAGAGGCACTTATTCTTCAAATTTTTGCATATTAAAGAAATTCTGCCCTGTTTTCTTTTTAAAGTAATAAGTAACTTGGCTTTGTATAAAATCTCTGTCTCACAATTTTCTCCTTCAGAACTTTCTACATGTCATTTTTTAATCTTCTATAATTTAGTGTTGTTACACTCTCCTTAAATAATGCTGGTTCTTTAGTGTGGGAGAATAAAGCTTCCACCTTCTTCTGAAATCCAACGAAATCCTCCTTCTAGGTCAACATCCAAAACCTTAAGCCAAAACTGTGGCCTGATCTTTTGTTCCTTAAGTGAAGGTAGAAGGCTCAGTGTCCTTGCTGTTGCCGTTGTCGCATCTCACCACTGGCACTTGAATCCCTCCATAGCTTGTAGCAAAGATTGCAGCATCTACTCACTCTGAGACCTCATTTCATGTCCGAAAGATCAGATGGGCTTTTTGTTTTACTCAGAAGTATCGTGGCCAAAACGACCACAGACTGAAAACATTACTTGGCACTATTGAAGACCAGCTTATTGTTCACACTGAAAACTCCAGGCCAACATGGGTGGGGGAGGGGTTTCCTTTATCATCGGCCTGCCCCTGAATGCTGCTGCCTGTCACTACCTTGACCCTACATAGCAAATGAGATCAAACTTTGGCATTTTCAGCCAACGTATGCTACATTCTTATTTCTGAACCTTTAAAATGCTATCTCTCATCAAGAATTTTAAGAATATATGACATAATTTCAGGTGTATCATGTACTTAACAAATTCTTTAAGTTGCTATCCATGTATTCAATCTTCAGCTACAAAGAGAATGCTATGAGGTTATCAAAGATTCACCACGATCAGCCTGTGAAGCCCCTGGACCGAGCAGTCTTCTGGACTGAATTTGTCATGCGCCACAAAGGAGCCAAGCACCTGCGGCCAGCTTCCCACAATCTCACCTGGTTCCAGTACCACTCCTTAGACGTGATTGGGTTCCTACTGGCCTGTGTGGCAACTAGTATATTTCTGTTCACAAAATGTTGCCTTTTTTGCTTTAGAAAGTTTGGTAAGACATGGAAGAAAACAAAGAGGGAGTAGTTTTTCTTTAACAGTTCTGTCTGGAAATCTTGATAGAGCCCATCTGGATAAATTTAGACACTGATGTGAACAGATTCCTCCCTTTCTGTTCAAAGTTCTTGTCCATTCCTGAGCTTATCAAGTCAAAGATAAAGTAATCGTCAAAGTAGTCTAATTCTAACGATTTCAAAATAAGGTTTTAAAGAGTCTATTGTTTAAAAGTAGAAGATAAGCAAGTCCATGGAATGTTCTACTACTAAAATCTTAATGCTTTTGCTTTATTCACGTTTTTCAGTTCAACAAATTGAGATGCTACTTGAGACATTAGGAACAAAATGGTTAATTCTATTTTTATTATCAATCATATTAAATATTTTTTAAATATTCATCACCATTTTGGGTCCATTTAATAATTACTGAATATTCCCTAAAGAACTAGACAGTAAGTAGGATAAAGTGCACTATAGCTATAGCTTCCCTTCAAATAAGGAATATCAGGAGATGGTCAGGGATTCTGTTCTGCATCCTGTAAAGTGTATTTTATTCCACTAGTTTCCTTTCATATGACACAAGATTATCTCCTTCTTGAACATAAAAAACTATTTTTTTGTCTTTACAGTCTGCCCTTGACTTGGAAATTGATAATGTTAGTGCCAAATTTGTATCATATCACTTTGTGGCTGTGTGGAAAATCAATAATTTTGACAAGTTAGCAGGATCGATGGTATGGTGGAAAGAAGAGACATAACTATTTAGCTATACTACAGATAATTTGGAGAAAAATGCATTTCTTAAAAATGCTATTGGCTATGAGGATGATTTCTTCATCTACTCACAATCTCAGTGACTATGCCCACTTCTTCCTTTTCTTTTTCCCCATCACTCTTCCTGGCCTTCTCTTGACATGTATTGTGATCAGTATACAAGGCACAAGTACTTAGGCTTCTTATTAATTAGAATTAGCCAGAAATCTACAGGAAACACAAAAGCACAAGTTTAATTTTCATAGAATAAAGGATCTATTTTCCTCTCTTTCTTAAAAAGACTGTCTCCCAGTATATTTGCCAGTTCTTTGTCCTTGATGTCAAAGAATTATTACTGTGGTAGTGGTATGTATCAAGCAAGCTCAGTGAATGAATTTCCATGGTTTAATATCTGTAACACAAGCTTCATCAACCTACAATTACAATTCCATCTTAGAACAATATAAGTCATTTAGGAGATTACATTTATTTTTTAAAAAATAATAGTGGCACAAATAAAAGCTATACCAAATATATATATATATATGTATGTATTCTTTGATGGGAAATTAACTATAGAGGAATACAGAAGAAAAATTCTTTTCATCAATTTTATGAGGTTTTGAAATAATTTAAATCTTATAAAGGTTTAAGGCATAGAGCTTAAAAAGTTTAAACAATTGTACTGTTGTACAGCTTCGTTCAGAGTCTCATTAATGGAATCAAAGTCATAATTTGACATTGCGCTGAATTATTTAATTTGATAACGTTCTTCTTATAATAGTCTTTAAAATCATAATATAATCTTTGATCAGATAATTAGGTATCAAAATCAAACTATCTCTTTAATTTTTTATTAGTGTAAAATGATATAACATAAAGTAGTTTAAGTAACTTAAGATTTGAATAACTTGCTAAGGTGATCTGAGTTTATTGAAAGGAATGACCTTGACAAATGAAATCATATACTGTATCTTGTAGAAAACAAGGCTTTTTTTAAGAACAAATGTTTACATGTTTAAATTATCTCTTAGGGACCAATGTATTTCTTAGGAACAAACATTTACCTAGTTAAATTATTTCTGCTACATTAAATTAAATATATTGACATTCTGGTAATAATTTTAGGTATGCAGAGGCCAAACCTTGTGATGTATATTTTTTCCATTTTAAGTTTTAATAAAAACAGATTTTTCAGGAATTTAATGACCCCTGGCTTTCCTATTCAGTTAAAACAACTTATTTTAAAATATCTTATTTTTAAATTATTTACAGTTTATCTGTGTCTATTTATGAAAATCTGCTCAAGTTTCTTTTGGGTTATAACTTAACTAAAAGTGCTAATATGTAGATGCAAACATTTTGTGCATATGTGCATGAGTATACACGTGAACATGGAAAATCATTTTCTATATGTTATTAATAAAAAGTAATTTATATTGTTGTATTCATGATTTTTTACACTGGCTTTTCTTATGCTGAGGGAAGTATCTGTTTCTGTTATGTTCTATGTGTTTTACAAAAAATCTTGATTCATGTGTAGGCTCAGATCTACCACATTTCCTAAATTAATGTAAATATTATCCATGATGTTTTAAACTGTTATACATCTGGGACTGAGAAGAGTCTGCTGCCCGTGGAACACCGTAAGTTCTACAATGCATTGTGTTTGTCACCTGTTTTCTACTTCTCACCGTCATTTCCTCCCTCAGGTTCTTTGCCAGTTCTGCCATTGTTCTGGATTTGGGTTGTAACTGCAGCCATATAACCTGAGATCCTCTTCTCTTACTCCCAGTTCCTACCAATAAGTTTATCCAGAGATTTTTTTTTTTACCTGCTCAGATAAAATATCCACATATATGATAGAGCAATCCGTATGACACCATGAAATGCAGGTTCTTAGCCTTCACCCTTGAAGCGATTGTTGCAGTGTAAAGTCATGACTCTTCCATGGACAGAAGCCATGCCACTGATCCTTCCTCATGATTATTATGCCTCCCTCTAGTTCCTGCCTCATTTCCAAAACCTCCTAGCCATAAGAACATGCCATGCATGTAATGAATGACAGAAGGATCCTACAATTCATGGAGATCAGAGTTAGAAATAAAGTAGACATTTCCCCTTGTTGATAAGAAACTGCTATTTCATCAATAGCAACTGGGAACCGAGGGAGAACTCTCTTACCAGGTGTCATGATAATATCACATAACTTGAGTGAGAGGTAGAAGAAACCACCTCTACCTGGTATTTCTCCTGCACCATTCCTTTGCTGTTAGAGGCCAGCTTCCATTCCAGTTCTTAATAAAACCCAGCCCTGAAACTGGAGAACATTAGAAGTTGAAATGTGAATTCACCCATGAATTATCTTTGTTTACCAAACCAGATGATGAGGGTGCTGTTCCCCAACTAGTTGCCACTCTCAGAGCCTCATAAAGTCATAAATTGAGTACATTATCTTCCGGAGTTGATTCCAACCAGTGGCCCCATTTTAATTCATGCCAATCCCAGAATAATTATGAACACAAACTTCATCATCGACTTGTTCCTCATTCTTAAGTGCATCCTACTCCTTGCTACAAAGTGCTATTTATTATTTTCTTCTTCCTGAAAAAATGTAATTGTATCTTGATACATATTTTTTTCATACTAACTGAGTATTTCTTTTTTTTTTTTTTTTTCCCCTTTTTGGCTTTTTTCGTGACCATCAATGGATCGCAACCCTCAGTGTCACGCCTGTACCGGACCGGGACTGGCAATAGGATTGCAACCCTCGGTGTTGCACCCGCACCTCGCTCAGCCAGTGAGCGGCTGGTCTGTATGTGGGATCCGAACCCTCGGCGGGAGCGCCACCGCGCTCCCAAGCGGCGCACTGAAGCAGTGCGCCACCGGGCCGGCCCTGAGTATTTCTTATGACATCATTCTCCTAAGTATTGAGATCTTTTGTGATACAGCAATTTAAATCAAACTAAAACAGAAATTGATTCCAATTGCTATTCTTGATGTGATCACAACCAGAATAAATTACACAGAGTCTGTTTATCATGATGTTTGCATTCTGGAGAAAGAGAAATGTTTAGATCTTCTAGAAGCTTATAGATAACCTTTGAACTGATACTAAAAAAACAAAGATAATCCTTCCATCGTACAAAAGGAAGCGTGAGATCTCATGAAGGTCAAGTATCAGTAAAAAATTACCCTCAGTTCTTCTTACACTGGATCCAGTAAGATCATGGAACCATCCTGTGTTGTTTCTTTGGTACCAAAATGCAGATACACATATGTAGTGAATTTTTATAATTTTGTCTTTCCTCATCATCCATTTTGAATATAACTTCAACTCTCTCATACCAGAAACAGGGCTTAGTCACCTTTGACATAGTTTCCATTTCTTCTCCTCCTCCTAGTTCTTCAGCGTAGTGAATCCAGATATCTGCCTTATAAAACCACTTTCTGGTGACATCCTCCTATGGGAAAGCTAAATACAACCTACTCAACTTGTCCCACTGACCCCCAGACCCCACATGGATGGTGCAGGTGCGCTATAGTGACCACCTCTAAGACACAGAGTAACTTTATAGAACTCATAGCTGCTTTTACTAAACACACCAGTTAGAACAGCCGCAGGGAAACTACATTCTTCCTTTTGTCTCTGACTCAAATGTCCCTTACCCTGGCCTTTTCTCTCCTCACGCACTGGTTAAATGTGCATGATCCATACAGCTCTCTTTCCCTGCAAGGCATACTGCACTATTCTCTCTGGCCTCTGTAAGTAATCCACTGGTTCTGGTATTTCAGATGTTTTGTAAAGTTTCCTTCTTTGTGTCTGACATGACTGACACATCTGAACCTAACTCTTCTCCAGTCAGAACTCTCATAGAGAGTGGTTATCATGGTAGGAAAAAATTAGACACAGGTGAGAGATCTTCAAGTGTGTCTACCAGTATAAACAAGTTTCCTGTGAGAGAGACACCTGTTCACTTAGGCATTAAGCCATTTACCAGGATAAAGAAAGGAAAAACACATTGTACATAAAAATGATCAAATAAATGACTGGAGCCCCATACAGGCAAGGCTAGGGTTTATAGCCACTCTTTTGAAAGAGAGATCTCATGACTAAACTAGGGAAAAATAGAACTTCGTAATTGACAGAATCTCCAGTTGGGTTAATTCATCTAGATGGTGACATCTCCATAGTATCTTCATGCAGCTTGGGAGTCTGGAACTGAATATGAGCTATAATCAATGGTACTGAATATGGGCTATAGTCAGTGACTATGG